GCCGGCCTTGAACCACTGCTCCTGTCCTCCTGCCTCCCTTCTTAAAGGGAGCACCTTCCAAGGTTCTCCATCAAAGAAAATGTTTACTGAAGTAATTTTCAGGTTCTGTCAAGGCAAGAAATTTGCTTAAATTCAGAATCTTTACATAAATAACCTTAAAAATTAAAGACTGTTATCTTCATCAAATGTATTTTCACATTTTTGAGATAATGACCTTTCTTTTTAGTCCATATATGGGTTGAGACAATTAAGAGTCTGATGCTGAAAATTATTACAAACCTAGAGTAAGTTCTACTTTTTCATGGCATATTGTTTTAAACCAGTAGCAATGGCTCATAGCCACAGTGAGCTGGGGTACTGGTATCTTGTCAGACTGTCCAGCAACGTGTGCGTGTGTATATACGTGTGTGTGTGCACGTGCATCTGTGTGTGCATGTGTGCGCGCGCGTATATTCGTGTGTGCACATGTGTGTGCATGTGTGTGTGCGTGTATATACATGTGTGTGCGTGTGCATGTGTGTGTGTGCACTTTAGAGAACTCACCATATCCAACTGAGTCGCCATCATAAAGACTTCACATCTGCTCACAGCATCTCCTGTCATATCACAAAATAGCTGGCAATAAATGAAAGACTAAGGTTTAAAAGGCTTCCTGTTGCTTTAGATCCCTGGCTCAGGTTCTGCCGACTCTTAGCATTCCTTTCATGGCCACCTCGTCTTCAAACCATGGTCGCCAGCCCGTAGTCTGTCTTGGGCTCCGTTTAAGGTGGCCCCACATCCGAGGATGCGGGGTGGAAAGGGCAGGTTGACCAGACATAAACTGGGTCATCCCCAAAACCCCTATCTTACCAGGGCCAAGGGGTTGTGGGAAATGATGGCTCTCTTTATGAAACAAAAACATGTTGCCAGTGAAGATGGTGAGTTGGGAACTTGACTTGGAGAAACTCGCTTTCTTTAATGTTATGATTAAAATCAGGAAACTGCATTTCACACGTTTCTTCTATTTGTATTTTCTTGTGACAAGGTATCATGTAGTCCAGGCTGGCCTCAAAAAAAAAAAAAAGTGTAGCCAAAGATGATCTTGAAACTCCTGAGTTGAGTCCCCTGCCTCTGCCTCCTGAGTGCTGGGATTATAGGTGTGTACTACCTCAGCCAGTCCATCAGGCTCTTTTCCCCCTGGTTAGAAGCTAAAAATGCTAGGGTGGGCATAGAAGCAGAAGGCATCCCTGTGTGTGAGAGCATGGGTCCTCAAATACACCCCAGAAAGTGATGCGATGCATGGTTCTGAACCGTCAGGAATGACAAAGAGGCTTGTAGCTTGGGGTCTGGAGCAGGTGCTCCTAGGTGTGAGTGACAGAAGGGGAGGCAGCTGGGCAGGAAGGGACACTATCGATGTCCCCTCGCGAGACCATAGAGGTGGAGGGACGAAGGGCTGAGAATGAGGGAGGACAGTATGGGAGGGGCCGCCTCGGCCTTGGCTGTGTTGTGGCAGGTGGGTTTGCAACGGGTGAGTTCAGCTTCACTGAAAATGAGATTTTAAAGCTGGGTGTTTGAAGCCAGCCTAGTCGGACTGAGCTCCGGGACAGCCAGGGCTACATAGAGAAACCCTGTCTCAGACAGAGAGAGGGAGGGAGAGACAGAGACAGAGAGTTAGGATCTGCATAAAGGCAGACTATTTTAGCTATGTAAACAAAGTTGACTTCTCATCCAGGCTCTTACATATTAAAATAGGCATTCTTCAGTAGAGTCGAGTGGCCGTTCATTACCACAGATAATCTCATCATCCCAGGGCAGATGACCTTGTGTGCCGTGGTGAGTGAGGTCTATTCCTAGCTATTAGGAATGCAGGCTGAGGATGGCAGGGGCCTTTGGGGCTCTGGAGAAGACCGGATGTAGTGCACTGCCGGGTGCACTTGTGGCAGACCTGGGCTTCCAACCTTGGTCTTTGGGTCCCACTGGTGCACTTTTGCTGTGTGTGCCCTGCAGCACCACTCCCTGGATCTTCTTCCTTGCATTTACTTGGTATTTTTAATTGGCCTTATTTGTTTTGTTTCCATTTTATCATTCTGTATCTGCTTCCGGAACTTACTTACCTTTTAAACTTTTTAATTAAAAATTTAAACTGACCTACATTAATCCTTGAAATCTGGGGTCCACAATGCCATTTATAATTTCTCCACCATATTGAAACAGATGTGATTGACAACATACCAAAACATCTGCAAGGGTGTGGCCTAGTGTGACCTAAGAGCATCATGCATGCCACACAATGGCCGCCTGGCCGCAGTGGATCAATTTATACCTCCCCCATCTCATGGGTTCTATCCTCGGACACCAAATTTTAGAATTCTCATCATTAGTAACTTCAGATTGAACAGAAGTCAGGAACTTAAAAGGCCTAGGGAAGAAACTTTTTCTGCAAAGGATCAGATGACATCAAAACTGCACACTGTGTGTGGGTGGAATGGTAGATGGGGAGGGAGGGAGGGAGAGAAGGAGAGAGGGGTCTGGGTAGAAGGTATGATTTGCTTGGGGGAAGTAGTATAAACATGTCAATCATCTTTGCTCTGGGCTGTATCCACGGGCTTCTGCATTCCAGTTATGTGGCACTATTCATAGGGCATATGACCATGAATGTGTAGAAGAATCAGCACACAGCCTGTTCTTATTGCCAGACAATTGGCCCACAGCATCTGTTGCATTCTGAGTTGGCCCGGAGATCAAAAGATGCCGGAGTGTAGCCTAGACACTGATGGTCTCTCCCCAAAATCCAATCAGCTGAAGGGAAAAGCAGGCAAAAGCAAAAATAAACCTTGACTCCAAATCACCAGCAGCAGATAAAGTAACAAATAGACAAAGAGAATTTTGAGAAGCGCCAGCCAGGGAAAGGTCTCTAGAAAGCTGTCATCTTACATATCTGGAATTCCCTACTCATTGAACGCCAAACCCATCATGTCCCCCGTGCCCAGCTGACATTCTACTTTCTGCCTCTGTGGTCACGTGTGACTACCTTAGATACTTCCTGTGAGCAGAATCACACGGTATTTGTGTTTTTGCAGAGTGGCTGTGTTCACAGTGTCCTCAATATTAGCCCTCTGCCATCAGTATTCCCTTTCTTTTGAAGGGTGAATATTCTACACGAAATGTTGGACAACCAAGTTGGTATCAGAATTGTCCAAAGCAGCGTTCCCAACCACACAGTGGGAGCAAACATCAAGGGGAATAGAATTATTTACGTTACATAAAGGTGTGTTTATAGTCAAAGGTAGTATGTTAAAATAATGTGAAATAAATATAAAAGGTTCTCTAAATATAAAGACACTGTTCTAATGAGGCAACAATCTTGACCCTAAAGAACTCTGAGACCACAGTAACTATGAACATCTTTTCTAATTAGTCACCCTGTGATGAAACCGTCCAGTTGTCACCAATCAAAATGACAGACACAGGAACAGAAGAGTCACAATTGACAAAAGCAACAAAAATCAAGCAGTGTGGGGGGCGGGAGGGGGCGGGAGGGGGCAGGAGGGCACACACTGCGGGTTAGTTTGTTGCCGTGAGAGGGTTTGCAAAAACTAAACTAAGTGTGTTTTAATCTTTTTCCTTGGTCTTGTGTTAGGGATTTAACTGCAGGTTGCAAGGACACTGAGGGTTACTTCTGTCCCCCTCCCACCCCACCCCACCCCACCCCCACTATCTTCAAACAAAACTAGAAGCAGTTGGTAGAGGGAAGCTCTTCTGCTGCCATTTTGATTGTCACTAAGATCTAACCACCGCCCTGGCATTTATGTAAGGAGGGGTCCGGCGGGGACAATGGATAACTTCTTCGTACTTTTCAGGGGCTTTGAATTTTTTCATGAGCTCACATTTTTATTACATAGATAAATCGTTGCTGTCGATGCACTGAACAGCAGTAGCATCTTGGTTATTCCAGTTGCCGCATTGTCCTTTTTAATGGCAGAACTGGCAAATACTGAGTAGGTCTTTGTAACTCCGCCCCGTCTGGCAGTTGAGGAGTCGGGGGCTGTGGGGCCCGCTGCTCTCCTTGCAGGGTCGCTTGCCTTTTTGTTGAACTGGAAAACGAAGCAGGGGCTGGTGACTGCCAAGGACACTAAGACTGGACATACCTGGCCGGCAAGTGTCACATGGTTAGATGCCTGAGCCTAACGGCGGCCAGGGCCGTCACCTTGGACGCTTGGAGTCTGCCCTCGGCTGCCATGCACTCCGTCACGCCCTCCACCTTGGCCCATGCAATGCCCTCAGGAGGAGCTGGGCCACCACTTTGCCCAGCTTTCTCTCATCCAGGGCTCAGCGTTAGCCTCTCTGCTCTGTGGCTCACACCAGGGTAGACACCCCTTTCTGTGGTTGTGCTGTGCACATTTACAGCTACTCCCTGGCTGTCACACTTCTCAGGAGGCAGACTCGGGCGGATCGGGATCTGTAGGAAGTGCAAGGTCAGGCTCTCCCAAACTCTGTGGTTTCCTGCTGGACCACTCCAATGGCCTCTGCTCTGCTCTCCTATCAACTCTTGCCTCTGTGGCTTGTTTTCGGAGTTGGGGCGCACTCTGGGCTCCTGCTTCCTTTCTCCTGGTGCAGGAAAGAGGAGCTGTTGCTTTGGCCCTGTCCCCCGATGGAGCCCCTCCTTCAAGAGGAGCAGCTCCCACAGCTTAGAACAGCACACCACTGGCCCTCAGGCTGGTACCCAGGGAAGTGGCCTTCAGCCAGAGCTCCAGATGTGGCTTCGGACCAGTGATGGGAATCAAAAAAGGCTTGTGGCAAAACATTGTGTCCATGGGCATGATCCATGTTTGTCTGTCTACACGAGGAGGAGGAAATAAGTGGCCATCCGGTGGATTTCTCTGCTCTGCGGCTTTTCTCAGATCCTCTGCAGTGAACACTTGCGGAGATGCTAGACGGCACTGTTCAGCCCACCCCACCCAGCAGTACAGGAAGACCAGGAGTAGCTTGTCTCATTCACCTTCCTGTCCTTTCCTCATCAGGTGACTGGATGGCTGGAATCCCTTCACACATCCTCAACAGCTCCCCATCAGACCGGCAGATTAACCAGCTGGCCCAGAAGCTAGGCCCGGAGTGGGAGCCCATGGTGCTGTCTCTGGGCCTGTCCCAGACCGACATCTACCGCTGCAAGGCCAACCATCCCCACAACGTGCAGTCACAAGTGGTAGAGGCGTTTGTCCGCTGGCGCCAGCGCTACGGGAAGCAGGCCACCTTCCTAAGTTTGCACCGGGGCCTCCGGGCTGTGGAGGCTGACCCCTCGCTGCTCCAGCACATGCTGGAGTGAACCCAACCCTGCCATTGGCTGGGGCATGGGTCCCCAGTCACACAGGCCGAACGGGACTTCACCCAGCAAGTGGCTTTTCCTGGGTTAGTTTTTGGTTTCTTTTTTCTTTTCTTTTCTTTCCTTTTCTTTTCTGTGAGCCCTTAGTGGAAGGGAGATCACCTGAATTCTACTGGCTCGATAATTGCAATGGCTTTAATTGCTCGAAGATTGCATTGTTGTAACTGCACTTTTGAGCTGTGTGGTTGCCTTTTAACAGAAGAGAAGAAAACACAACAAAAGACCATGCTACCACATTGTATGCGGGTGTCCTACATACAAAGCATTTACGTTGCCTGGAAACTGGACTGTGGACTTAGCTCTTCATAATGACGATGATAATAAACAGTGAATTGTGTTATAGAATGCGCCTCTTTCATGAGAAAGTATACCCCCCCATTCTTCTGTTGCACAGACAGAGGGTGTAAAATTGTGCGAGTAGGACAAATTTGATATCAGCTTTGAAAGAGGGGATGAGTAGTTCAGGCGGGATTAATGGCTCAAGCATGAGAACCAAAGCTGCGTGTAGAAGCCAGGAAGAGAACATGCGTCCTTCATCCTAACAGATTGCATAAGAAATCTCTGCCCATTTAATAAAGGGGGCTCAGTGTTTCCCTTGAGGATGGAATGGCTGAAGGTATTGCGTTCTTGGGGGCGGGGGTGGTCATGTGTTGTCCCGCCTTTCATTGAGAGCACAGTGTTAGCCAGGCAAGTGTACATTTGGAACCCCAGCTCTTAAATGGCTGAAACAGGATGATCACTTCAAGGTCCAGCCTGGGCTATGACTACACAGCGTTCCAGGTCAGCTTTAGCCATTACCGAGACCCTGTCTCAAAGCAAATAAACAAAAATTTACCGCGAAGGGTTTCTAGAATGCTCTGTTTCAGGGCTTGTTGACTTGTGTGTTCTTGTCTGGGCCTCTCAGCAGCCCTGTGAGGCACGTATACAAGCGAGCGTGGTTTATCCCTCCTTCCGAGGTGGCAGGACCTGTGGAGGCTAACTAAGCTAGAATGTGGGTTGCTTCTGCATGAATGGATTAGAGGCCCACAGGATGCTTTCAAAGAGAGATGCAGAGGCTCTCATAGGGGCTGTGGATGTAGTTCAGGTGATAGGGTGTTTGCCCGGCATGCTCAGCGCCCTGAATTCCGTCCCAGTACCTCATTAACTCGGTGTGGTGGGCAAACCCATGATCTCAGCATTCCAGAAGGCGAGGCAGGAGGATCAGAAGTTCAGTGTCCTCTTCTACATAGTGAATTCCAGCCCAGCTTAAGCTACATGTAAAGGGGGGGGGGGGAGGGCGGTAAAGAAGTTAGCCAGACATTTCCTTTATCCTTCACAGTGACCGGAGAGCCCGGTTTTTAATTCTACAGAATTTTCAAGGAAACAAAAACACACTGCTTCTCTTCCTCTGCCCAAGGACGAGCCAATAGAAAGGCGGAGGAGAGTGACCATGAAGCATGCTCAGAAAGGCGGCAGTGGTGTGGTGTGGTGGCGTTCTTTCAGACGTCCTGGTAGTGCCCTCTCTGCCTTTACCAAGAAGACCAGCTGTTGCACATTTCATCATTCAGTGGTCACAGTCTCCAGAGCATTGCGTTCTGGACATGCCCACTCTAACTTTCCATCCCGTGCGACAGTCAATACTTCATTACTTTATCAAACTCCCATTTTGGGCCATGTCGCTGTGCCCACTCATAGCTTGCTCTTCAGTAGAGTCTTTAATAAGCCACTTGTCATTCTGAACTTTGTTCTACTTTGCCATCTCCCTCTGGGAGTCCCATAGCAAGTTGCTTTGGCTGTTGTTCTCATGATTCAGTCCTGCTTATGGCTGAGTGAGCATGCCTAGACTCTGCTGCGGCTTCCTGTTGTAGGCCTGATGCTGCACACCCCCCCCCCCCCGCCCTTTGCAATGAGTCTGTCCTGCTGTCCTGCTGCCTGGGGAGGGCTGATTGTGGAGGGGGTTGCTCTACCTTACTGCCCTTAGTAAGCAGGGTGGTGTCACTACCCAATGACAAAGGCCACTCCTTGCCCAGGCTCACTTCCTACAGAAGCTCTTTGGAGTTAGAGCCAGGCAGCCGCATCACTGCCTGTCTCTACCTCTGCAGGGTGACACTGGATCTCACCTGTCTGCTTCCCAGGAGGCTAGAAGGAACGCACGAGGATTCCATGTAGATTCACAGATCCTTTTGCCCCAAAGAAAATTCTGCATGAGTACAGTGAGGCAGCAGGACATTTGAGACACTAAAAGCAGCACAGTGATGTCCTACCTCTCTGTCCTCTGTCTTTGTATGCCTCTCTCTCTCTCTCTCTCTCTCTCTCTCTCTCTCTCTCTCTGTGTGTGTGTGTGTGTGTGTGTGTGTGGCAGAGCATCATGTACATGAGTGTGTCTTGTAACATTTTAAGACATGTAACTTCTATTAAATTTTCTGAATGCACGTAAAGTGCATGTCTGCTGTGTCATTTTGGAAAACTAGCAATGAATAGGTCGCCACCACAGCCTGCATGTTCTTCATGGGCAGGGATGTGACTTTCCTGTACCGCCCTTTCACACTTGGCTTCCTTGATTTAACACATAGCCATTGTTCTAATGCCATTAAGGATTTTTACAACATCCTTCGCTCTTAGAGCACCCTTGTAAAGGCTATAGCCTTTGAAGAGATTAAAGGCACTTAGCTACTAAGTATATCAATACCATCAGGACATTCACGGGCATTACAGTCCCCCCCCCACCTCCCCCACACCATGTTACAACTGGGATTGTTCACTGCCCCCAAAAGCAAAGCTTAGGAACCTCTGGACTCTGAGCTTTACCCTTGCCCCAAGATGTCTTCTCTGCTGTACTGTACCTAGTCACCTGTGTTCTGTGTTCCTTTTCTGCAGGAGGATGTTGGGGGACGGGGGTTGGGGGAACAGTAAACTCGCATTCCCTGTTGATCAGAATTTGGTGGCGCACTTTGAAGATTGGTAGACCTGTGAGTGGCTACAGTTCCACACTTTTCCATTGTGTTCTCATTTTCCAATGTGTGTGAAGCCACCACTGTTAACCACGTCAAGTTTTAGATGAATCTTTAAGTTGCCTTCATGCCTTCCCTATTACAAACAGTGAAGGGGAGCCCCATTGTGAAGTCTCCGTTCCCCAGAGGGTACCAGGAACTGTGTCTACTTGGTTTAAGCTTTAAACTGGTCTAATGTGTTGTCAGTTAGTTCTCTATCTATTGCAAACCATCCCAACATGCATAGGCTTTAGGAAAACAAATGTACCAGCCTGAAACCTGGCTCACAAAATTCTGCGAGCCAGGGGGGGTGTTGCTCTCTGGGTCAACTCTGCTGACTTCACCTGGGTTCATTAGTGTTTCTGTGTTCAGCTGGACCAACTGACACTGGGAGTCAAGGGACAGTCTCAGCTGTCAGGCTTTACAGGCTAACCAAGGTGTATAGGCTAGCTGCCTTCCACAATGGGCCTGCCTACCCAAGCCATACAATGAGAAGGTAAGCCCATCTTATCCATGCCTGCTTTTCTTCTGCTAATGTTCTGTTGCCTAAAGCCAGTCAGGTGACCAGTGTAGAGCCAATGAGTTCAGAAGACATGGAGCAAGGAGGAATAGAACCTGGTCCCCTGCATGCAATCTACCAAGCCAGTGTGCTAAAGCTGAAACTTCTGCGTGAAAATGCCCACACCATCCTCCAGGATCAGATCCTTACCCCAGCCCCTTCTGCCACCGCCTTACCTGCTCAGAGTGTCTCTGCAGAGACACTCGGCCTCTGGGAATAGAGCCATTCTGATTCTTAGAATAAACCCCAGAAGGCAGTTGCTAGGCTTAAAGTTGCACAAAGTATCAAACCAAAAACAAAACAAACAAACAAACAAACAAAAAACCCAACCAAACAAACAAAACAAAACAACAAAACCAAATTTAAAAAACAAAACTATTTGAATTTGAAAAACTACTTTTGTTGACTAGAGAAACTGTTCTTTGAAAGGGAAGGGGAAAGGGACAAGATCTCCCAAGCAAATTGGGAGCATGGGGGGAGGGGAGAGGGAGTTAGGAGGAAGAGGAGGGGAGAGGTGGGCATGAGGGAGGAGCAAGATTGAGTCAGGGGAAGAATAGAGGATAACAAGAAAAGAGATACCATAATGGAGGGAGCCATTATGGGTTTTAAGAGAAATCTGGCACTAGGAAAATGTCCAGAGATCTACAAGGATGACCCCAACTAACAATCTAAACAATAGTGGAGAGGCTACCTTAAATGCCCTTCCCTGATGATGAGATTGATGACTACCTTATATGCCATCCCAGATCCTTCATCCAGTAGCTGATGGAAACAGAAGCAGACACCCACAGCTAAACACTGAGCTGAACTCTTGGAGAGGGGGAGGAGTGATGAGCAAAGGCGTCAAGACCAGGCTGGAGAAACCCACAGAAACAGCTGACTTGAACAAGAGGAAGTTCATGGACTCCAGTCTGATAGCTGGGAAACCAGCATAGGACTGACCCAGATTCCCTGAATGTGGTCTTAGTTAGGAGGACTGGGCAGTCTATGGGGCCATTGGTAGTGGATCAGTATTTATCCCTAGTGTACAAATGGACTTTGGGAGCCCATTCCACATACAGGGATTCTCCCTCAGCTTAGACACATGGGGGAGGGCCTGGGCCCTGCTCCACATGATATGACAGACTTTGAAGATTTCCCCATGGAAGGCCTCACCCTCCCTGGGGAGCAGAAAGTGAAGGGGATGGCGGTTGGTGGGGGGTGGAACAGGAGAGGACATGAGGGTGTGGGAACTGGGATTGACATGTAAAACAAGCTTGCCCAGCATGCACAAGGCTCTAGATTCAATACTCTGCACCATATTGGGGGCTGGGAAGGGCCTTCCTTCTCTTTGGCAACATATAGGAGATAAGTTTTTCTATGCTACTTGGCCCCGCTAGGCTTCGGTGGCCCACTGAAAATGGATGTTGGAGTATGCATACTCTATACTCCAGCCATCCTGAGATAGCAGGAAGACTTCCTTATCTCTATTGCTGGGGTTCCCTGAACGTGAGGGTTCTGACTGAGGGGTGATCAATCGCCCACTGTTGTAGAATGCTGTGGTCATTTCTGCCTTGAAATCAAAGCAACTGGCTACCCATATTTGACTCACAAGACTGGCTCGCCCACTAACAGTCCCTCGTGGGAGTGAGGCTCACAGATGGAGCACCTGGTCCCTCTACTTCCTGAGAATGTGTCATCAGTGGACAGTAGTTGGAGGGGAGAGACTGTTTGGTGGAATAGTTGACACCTGTAAGTTGCCCATGTCCCTGTAACTCCTCACTATTGTTCTATTTGTCCTTGCATATGGTTCCAGTTCTTGTACTAGGCTAGATTTG